GTTTCAGTGAGTCAGCTGGTGTCTGCGCTCAGTTCGAACAGTGAGAGCTCTCTGGTGTAGCCGACACACTCTGGAGGTCTCTGGGTTTACAGCAAGTCCAGCAGAAAAACACACAGGAACGTCCTGAACATCAACCACCAACCAACACACGTCGGCTCTGCGGCGCGACACACACCAGCTGGGTCGTATTCAGGCTACTGTCACACGTTTGTGTGCACGAAGACAAGAAGACGTGTTTACAGGTGTTATGATGGCTGAGCTGAGACCCAGCTGGTGCGTGTTGAAAGAGAATAAAACCTTTAAGGATTTCATTCAATGAGGAAAATAACAGGAAGGAGCAGAAATAAAGAGAAAGATGTAAAAAGATTAAAAAAAAGAGGAAACAGAAAGAAACAGCAGGAGAAGAAGGGGAGGACACATGTGCTGTGAAACCCTCACGCTGCTCTTTGGAGGAAATTATTTTAGAATAATCAGAAAGTCTCGTTTTACATAAACTGGCAATTTTTTTTAATTTTTTACAAAGAATATTCAATTTAATCTTATTCATATATCGCCAAATCACAACAACAGTTGGCTCAAGGCGCTTCTGAGCGTTACCACCGCCACTTCAGGCACAGCGCTCGCTCTCCGGGCGGAGCTTCGATTATTTGTGCCAAAGCCCACCCCCACCCTGTTGATCAACACTTTCAGCTTACATCCTCACACGTCTCCTGCACAAAGTTCCACAACAGCTCAGTCCAGAGATGCCACCATCTCTGACTCCTCCCACAACGCTGAAGAAATGTTAAGTTCATTCTTTACTAAGAAAACAACTAAAAGCTGTTGTAAAGCTTTGCTGTAGCTCAGGCCAAGAATATGATTCGTTCGTGTTTCCCAGTTTGGTTGCTGAGCGGCTCTTTGGGGGCGGGGCCAATCTTTGCCATTATTGTTTTTTCCAATGGATTTGATACATTTATGCAGAATCTCTGAGCCGAATGACTAAAATAAGCAGCGCTTGCTCTGCAGTATCAGTACAATCAGACACTTAATGTCTGAACATGCAAAATAAAACAGGTCTGTGGCTGAAGGTCGGCAGTGAACTCCAAACCAAATCCAAACTGAAGGGAAACAAAAGAAAAACACTTCCAGCAGAGATTCAATCAGTTCCCTTCAAATGGAGAAATCAAGTCCTTTGGTCAACATCTGTTGCTTTTAGGAAATACTTCTGATTTTTCTTCAGCTGAAGAGAATTATTAAGCAGCTGAAGCTCATTAAAATCACAGCGTTTGTTTCGGCTCCAGCTGTGACCCCTCAGACTGGATCTGGTTTAGAATTTCCAGCCGGTCTAAAAAGCTCTGAGATTCCAGACCTGTTGTGGTCCGGTCCCACTTGGCTGTATTTATACTCAGCACTGGTTTTCTCCTTCTGGAAGAACTGGTTCAGACGGGCCTTGGCGTTCTCCAGAGTCCAGTTTCCGTGAAGGTTAGCGTTCAGATCCACTTCCTCCGACTCCAGAGTCTGCAAACAAAAACACAGGTGGGAGTTCGTTT